AGGCCATCAGCTGTTTAGCGCGGTAGTGCAGCAGCAGGGGCAATCAGCTCATCTTTTGCTTTTGCTTCCCTGTCAATCGCTTTGGCTGTGAAGCGCTTAGCACAGCAGTGTGCAGCAGTGGCTCAGAGGGCAATCGGCCCTGCAGGAGGCTTTGCAGCAGCGCAAAGCAGCCACTTGATTGGGCAATTGGCCTGATCCCAGCTGGGGGGTGTAGCCGAGTGGCAGCAGTTGGTGCTGAAGAGTGGCAAGATCAACCCCCAGCTGAGGGCGCAGATCGACCACTTTGCCAGGGCTGTGATTCTGGCTACAGAACTGAGGTGATTGCGTGGGCACCAGTAGACCTGTACGCAGGTCCATTATCACACTGTGGTGACCAGCAGGGCGTGGCTGCAGCCCAGCAATAGGCCTATCTTAGGCTTGCTTTGCCAGTTCAGAGGTAAGAGGACCTTTTTTATTCTGGATGGGACCTTACTGGCAAGGGTAAGCAGTAAATGTATTATTAACTCCTCATCCCCTCCCCCGCCAGGATCCATCCTCTCCCTCTGGCTGTTGTTGTTAATGCTAATCTCCTAGTGGGAAGGCAGATAAAGATCAGGAAAGTGATCACAGTCCTTCTACTTTTAGAGGTAGATCCAGGTGCAGACAAAAGAGAAAGGCCCCTGAACCCAAAAAACCTTCCAGGGCAGAAGAGCAAGATGCCTTCAGACGACAGAAGGCTCTAGAAAAGCAGGTGGAGAAAAGCCAGCATGCTGCTGGTGGGAGGAGCCGAAGATCACCACACCCAGAGGAGTTAGATGCTTCTGCTCAACCTCCAGACCAATAGGTGACATTGGTGCTCCTCCAGACCAATATTTTGATGAACCAACAGTTCGGCCTGAAATGGTTCCTGTTCCCAGATTATTTTTGAATGTAATCAAGAAACAGCTGGAATCCCCAGGAACATCTGCCATGTTATCGGCCAGCGAACGCTGCTACTTTAATATGGGCCTGAACTTACCAGCTCATTACAGATGCCATCAGTGGACGGTCCAGTTGCAGCCTTGATTTCTTCCTCATCAAACCCCACTGATCCAGAGGAGGCATTGAAGGCGGAGGACAAGAGGATCGAACAATCCCTCCAACGTACCCACCTGGCGGCTGCCTGGTTGGCCAAGGTGGCTTTGGCTGCTTCATTCTTTATGAGGTCTTCCTTATGTTGGCTGCACCAGCTGCAAGACAGGGTCCTCTCCACAGATGTCTGAGTGCGCCAAGACATCCATAAGCTTGTGGCAGCAGCCAAATTTACTGCTGATGTCACATTGAACAACGCCAGATTTGCTACCAAGGCCATTGCCACTTCGGTAGCAGCCCGCAGAATGGTCTGGCTTAAAAACTGGCAGGCCAATGAGTGGTGGAAGTGGAAGGTGGCATCTGCCCCCATCAAAGGGGATAAATTGTTTGGGGAGGTCTTGGATCCCCATCTGGTGGAGACCAGATATAAAAAGAAATACCTTCCTTCTCTGGCGAGGCGTTCCACTTTCAGGGTGGTACCATACACCCGCAGGTCATCTTTCAGAGCTGAGGGCAGCACTCAGAGGCAGTCCTTCAATCGCCAGGAACGCCCCCAGGAAAGAGCGGCCAGATATAGGCCTCAATTTTCAGGCAAGCCCCCCCCCCCCTTTTTTTTAAATAACAAATTTTATTAATTTTCAAAGACAATACACAGACAAACAAAACATAAAACATAATAACATAAAACATCTTTTCTAAAAACTGCTTAACAAAACAAATAAAACATCTCATTTAAGTACATTACACTTTTCCAACTTCTCACTGTTTCTTCCTTTATTTCTGTTCAATTTTATTCATTAAACTTATACTTTCATGTATTTCATATTACTATATTTCATATTATTACTATTTCATATGTTCTTATCCAACATCATTAATCCTCGATAAACAAACATAAGCAAACAAAATACATAACATAAAAACATAAAACTTCTTTTTAGAAAGCGGCTTAACCCCAGGTTATAACTTTTTGTACAGACATAAATCAAATTCATGCTCACCTTATATACTATTTCATATCTTCTCTTTTCACTCTCTTAATTCTATTTTATTTATGTAATCTCAATTTAAATCATTATACTTGTATCTTTTGTCCGTTCTTTTTCAATTATCTATTTATCTTTTCTCTTTACCACAAACTTTTTCCTGTAATCACTGGTTGAAGTATGACACCTTTCTATTTTCCCCCAAAATTTAACACTTAAAATAATACATAGTTTCTATTCTGATTCTGCTTAGTACATTCTACATAACATTTTAAAATATAAAACATAATGATCTTATAGTATATTAAAAATAATGTTCCATAACAAATTAATTAATTAAACTCTATTAATTAAATCTTAGGCATTTTACACATTCCCTACAATATTCTATTAACACATATTTCAAATACAAATACTACAATACAATCTTGTGTACTCTTGCAGAATCTCTTTTTAGATTATGTTTTACCCTTTATCTCTGAAAAAAACCTGTTTATTAGCATCTTGTTTTAAGCCTTTATAACTTCCCTTCACTTTTTCCCTTCCTTCCTTGTCAAATCTAGCCTTTTTACCCCCCCCCCCTCAATCTCCAGCCTTTTAGTCTCCCCTCTCTGTTGTATTCCTCTCTTCTGTTGCTTTCTGACATTATATCGATTTTTCACCTTATTTTTCCCTTTCTTGGTTGTTTTTTTAGAACTTAAATTCTCCATTTTCTTTTCCTTTTTACCCTTTTCTTTCTCATTTAAAATCATATGTCCATTAAAGATGGCTTCTTCTTCATCATCCCAGCCTTTTTCTTGTTGCATTTCCTGATAAGTAGAAATCGCCATTTCTAAGAAGCAAAGGATAGATCCAAAGGAGCCCTTGCCTTCTTCTTCTTCTCTTAATTTTTCAAATTGCATTTTCAGTTCTTCAACAGATACCATTGTAAAAAAAATTTTAAACAATCCAAATGTTTTCTTAGTCTTTCAAAAGATAGTTCACAAAAGTCCCAAAGTCATCAAGCAATCAAAGTCAGCACAATCAGCACAGTCTGTTTCATTTAGCACTTTCTTCTACTTTCTCTTCCTGGGGTAGCATTCAATTACACAATTCCAAGGTATTTTTTGGAAGTTTTATTGCAATTTAATCTCTGATCTTATAAAACTCCAAGCAATCTCCTTCAACAAACGTTAGTATAAATCATTTACCTCTCTTCCTTCCCACTTAAAGCAAAAAGATTTTAATTTTTAAATGTCAGTGTTTAAAAATCTAATGTCCCCTTGGCTTTAATTTTCAAAGTTAGTACCTTCTGCTTCCAAAGCGGGTATTTCCGATTTCCATCTGCTGTCTCCGTGGGGAAGTGAGGAGAAAAAAAAAAAAAAACTTTCCCTTTACTTTCCACCGCAGCTTAACGATCTTCTGGGAAACAATATATCACTTAAGGAGCCAAAGTTCCAGGGTATTCAGATGTTAATTGTCGTCCCGGTTCAGCCAAAAGCCTTCTCTTTCTTCACTTCCTCCTGCACAAAACTTGTCCGGCTGAGAGGTTCTTTGTGACGGCCATTGCTGACCGCCGCTCCACCACCTTTGGAAAAGGGAGTTAAGCCGGCTGGGGAAGGGGGGTGCGATATCCCCCGACCCCTGCCCGGATCTCCCCTCTCTTCAGTTATCCCTACAGGATAACTATAGCCTCCCAATCCAATTGGATCGAAGGCACTCCAGCAGCGAGCGAAGCAGGGATCGCGCACAAACGCGAATTCCTGCTGCCTCCGAAGCCTGACAAACCGGAACTCCAGGCAAGCGGCCCTTTTGTGGGGGAGGAAGTCGCTTTTTCCAGCGCTCCCGCTAAATGTAGCAATAGTTCTCCCATTGGGGGTAGGTTATCCAATATTGCGGCCCAATGGGAGGCTACTACATCCGACGCTTGGGTCTTAAAGAATATCAGACATGGCCTTTTCCTAGAATTTAGGTCACAAGCCCGCAGATTTTATGTGCCTTGCCCCGTTTCCAAGGAGGCATCCCATAGGAAACTAATGAAACAGGCCATCCAACACCGACTGGATATTAGAGCCATCCAGTCAGTACCAGTTAATCAACAGGGTAAGGGATTCTACTCCCAGCTGTTTGTTGTTCCCAAGGCTTCTGTGGGGTGGAGAGCCATTCTGGACTTTAAAAGGCTCAATAAATTTTTGTTGTACAAGCGTTTCCGGATGCATTCGCTGCAGTATTTTGGAGACCGTCAGGGAGGGTGACTTCCTCACCTCAATTGATTTAACAGAGGCTTATCTACACATCAGAATTTGCCAGACACACAGGGAGTATTTACACTTCAGCTTCGAGGGGAGGCACTTCCAATATAGGGCCATGCCTTTTGGTTTATCCTGTGCACCCAGGGTGTTTACTAAAGTCTTGGCTGCCTTGGCAGCTCGCTTGAGAACCATCCCAGTCAGGGTGCAGTGTTACCTGGATGATATTTTAATCCAATCATCCTCACATGACTGGTCCTTAAAGGATCTCCAAGCAACAGTCTCCCTGTTACAAGACCAAGGCTTTTCAATTAACAAGAAAAGTCATTTCTCACCATCTACATGTTCATTGCATCTTGGAGCAAAGATTGACACAAGTGTCTTGTAAGGCATTCCTCTCACAGGAACGCAAGGACAGCATGGTGGGGGAGGTCGTGAGAGTGGATAAGTCCCCCTTGGCACTTCTCTCACAACTCTTAGGGAAGATGATTTCTTGCATCTCCATTGTGCCTTGGGCTAGACTGCACTCCAGAAAGCTTCAGTGGTTTCTGTTGCCCCACCAAAAGGCGGGTAGAAGTCACTCATCTCTCAAGGTCACAGTCCCTCAGTCTGTCAAGCAGTCCTTGTCATGGTGGGTTGGTTTCTTAGGCTTTGAATGCAGGTCAATTATTCAGAGAGCCGTCCTGAATGGTAATCACTCTCTTTGGTTGGGGGGCATATTTGCCAGTCTCTCCGGCTGGGGGGCATATTTGAAGTCACAGTTGGCCCAAGGCTAGTGGTCTGTTTTGGAGTGGGGAAAGAACATTAATTGGTTAGAATTGAGAGCGGTTCGATGGGCTGTCAAGAAATTTAGAAACACCATTCTACACACATGTCCTAATTTTAACGGATAATGTAGCCACCAAGGCTTACATCAACAGGAAGGGTGGCACCAGATCTAGGGCTTTAATATTAGAGGCTGAATGTTTGGGCCTTTGGGCGGAGAGGAATCTCCTGTCAATCAGGGCAGAACACATCTTGGGTGGAAAATGTGCAAGCGGACTGGCTTAGCAGGGCCAAGATTGACCCCTCAGAGTGGAGTATTCCCCCTCTTTTATTTCAGGAGCTGTCACAATGGTTCGGACTACCAGTGGTGGACCCGTTCGCATCTCCAACCAATACCAAACTACCCAGGTTTTTCACCAGGTTCGCGACCCAGGGGGCAGAAGGGATCAATGCCCTCAGGAGCAGGTGGCCTCAGGGTCTCCTGTATGCCTTCCCTCCTCTTCTGCTGCTTCCAGCGGTAGTCAGAAAGATACTGGAGGAGGAGGAGGAGGAGGAGGTCATACTTTTGGCTCCTTACTGGCCCAGGCGCCCCTGGTTTGCGGATCTGGTGAATCGCTCATTCACCCAACCATGGAGAATCCCTCCTCACACGGTGTCTCTACACCAAGGAGAAATAACCCACCCAGAGCCTCAGTGGTTCCATCTGACCGCTTGGAGGTTCAGCGGAGCGCTCTGAGGAGACAAAATATATCGGATCGGGCCATCCATACCATTCTAGCGGCTAGAAGGCCTTCAACCAACTGCATCTATCAAGCCACATGGAAGGTCTTCTGCCAGTGGTGCATCAAGAATAGGATTTCCCCCACTTCGGCTTCAGTAGCCAACATACTGGACTTTTCACAAGAGGGTCTTGACAAAGGCCTCTCAACAAACACCCTATGCAGACAGGTGGCCGCCCTTTCTTCAGTATTGTACATACATGGGAAGGGGTCTTTGTCTCAGAACCAAACCATCCGGAGGTTTCTAAAAGGGGCCGCCAACCTTAGACCTCCTATGGTTCACAGATTCCCCACTTGGGATCTTCCTAAGGTGTTAAGGGCCTTAATGACTGAACCTTTTGAGCCACTCAGGTCCATTAGCTTACACCTCCTATCTCTCAAGGTAGCATTTTTAGTAGCCATCACTTCAGCTAGAAGGATCTCAGAGATGTCGGCCCTTTCAGTTAGGGAGGATTTGTGTGTCTTCCATCCAGATAGAGTTGTTTTGCGGTTAGACCCATCTTTCATCCCTAAGATTAATTCTAGGTTCCACAGGGCTCAAGAGCTTATTCTCCCAAATTTCTGCCCCAATCCTACCCATAATTTGGAACGGGCGTGGCACACCCTGGATGTCCATAGAGCCTTAAAGATATACATGTGGAGGACACATTCTATCCGAAAGTCGGAGGCACTTTTTGTGTCCTTCCAGCCGGGCACAATGGGGTTGAAGGTGTCTCCATCGACAGTGGGCAGATGGATTAGGGCTTGCATTGCTAAGGCTTATCAGAGCAGGTCTCTTCCGATGCCTCGAGGGGTGATGGCTCACTCTACTAGAAGCGCGGCAACGATGGCAACATGGGCTACTCAAGCACCCATTGAAGAGATTTGTAGAGCGGCTACATGGTCTTCACCGTCACCCTTCATTTGGCATTACCGCTTGGCTGCCTTTGCATCAGTTGATGCAGCTTTTAACAGGAGGGTTCTACAGAGCGTGCACGGGCATCAATGTGAGTAGGACCAGACTCAATGCCCTCCCTGGGACCGGCCAGTTTTGGTATGTCCCAATCTATCTGGACTCTCGGAGCCACGGATAGGAAAATGAACATTGGCTTACCTGAATGTTCATTTTCTTCTGTGGCATATAGAGTCCAGCCCCACCCTGGTTTGTCTGGTCTGGGTGTGGGTTGGTGGGAGCAATAATGTATGTTCTTTTTTATCTCGCAACTCCAGAATCACATCTAGTCTGCCAAGTGCTTCATCGAAAGCTGGGGCGTGGCCACAGCGCAGGGCAGACCCTCAGTTTTGATGCAGACTTAGTCCACCAGAGCAGGATCTGATCTTACCCAATCTATCTGGACTCTCTATGCCACAGAAGAAAATGAACTTTCAGGTAAGCCAATGTTCATTTTCCTCAGCATTGGATAGAAACACCTTTTGTTTCAGAAGTTTTCAAATTTGTGTCTTGCTTGTGTTCTAGCCAGAGGCGGCTACTGCTGACTGGGACGCCTCTCCAGAACAGCTTAATGGAGTTGTGGTCCCTCATGCACTTTCTGATGCCACACGTCTTCCAGTCACACCGTGAGTTCAAGGAGTGGTTTTCCAACCCCCTGACAGGCATGATCGAAGGCAGCCAGGAGTACAATGAGAATTTAGTCAAAAGACTGCACAAGGTGAGCATTGTGGAAGGAGAGGAGGGCCCTTTGCAAGGGACTGTTGAAAGTGGACAGAGATTGACTTACCAGATAGGAAAAGATCTGGAACAGAACATGTTCTTTTTTGTCATCATCCCAACAGGTGCTGCGTCCCTTCCTCTTGCGAAGGGTAAAAGTGGATGTAGAGAAGCAAATGCCAAAGAAATATGAGCATGTCATCAAATGCCGTCTTTCCAAGTGCCAGCGTTATCTTTACGATGACTTCATGGGCCAGGCTACGTAAGTATAGAAAGCTAATTGAAAAGTGACAGAGGAAATACTCTTGATACTAGGCTTCTTGGATTTTGTGAGGAAGTGTGGGCCTCACAGAACAGTAGGCTGGTCATTGAAGGCCTATAGACTGTGGTGTTTGTCTAGCTTTTGTTTTTCCAGCTCCACACCACATCAGTGTTTATGACTTTTGAAATGGATTATTTTGTTCCTTGGCATCTGTGGGCATAGCTGATTATATGTGGCTGTCATCCTTTCAGCACCAAGGAGACATTGGCCACAGGGCACTTCATGAATGTCATCAACATCCTGATGCAACTCCGCAAGGTCTGCAATCACCCCAATCTTTTCGACCCACGGCCGATCCACTCGCCATTTATCATGGAGGGCATCTGCTTCAACACCGCCTCCCTCGTCTTGCATGCTTTTGATTATGACCCTTTCAAGGCAGGTGCCTCCTCTTCTGATCTTTTGGAAGGGTGGAATTGCTCCATTTGGGGGAGTATCTGGATGGACAGGTGACGGCTGCTTTTGAGACAAGAAGGGATGCAAAACTATAAGAAAGCATCCTGATTTTATTGTGTGAATCTTAACCTATTCTAGAATGTGGACTTGGACATTTTTGATCTGATCAACTTGGAAGGCTCTGTGTCCCGTTATGAAACAGACACATTCCTGCCCAAATGGAAGATGACAAGGAAAATGATTGAAGAGATTGCTGAGTCCCCAGACCCTCCTCCCAGACCCAAGCCAGTCAAAATGAAAGTGAACAGGTACTTGCAAATCTCTCTTCTCAAGAGGCTTCATTGCATCATAACTAGACTTCCCTTCGAACATAAACTTGTCAGCTCTGAAGGATTTGGGTTTTCTGACCTAAAGGAATGTTAATATTGGGATTATTCTACTGGCAATTATGCAGTAGAATACGGGCTATTAGTCAAGGTGCTCTGCATTCATTATCCTGACTTTGAATTCTGAGTATTACCTTGACTAGAATAAATATTATGCAATAATCTTGGCTGAGAACTGTCTGGTGGGGACTATTGCATCTCTCCATCTCTGGAACTGTCTCCATCAGACAGTTCTTAGCCAAGTTTTTTTTTTAATTGCATAGCAGAAGAAAGGGAACATCCATTGCTCTGTGTCATCTCTTTCAGGATGTTACAGCCAATGCCCAAGCCAGAAAACAGAACAGTAGTTTTGGTGAACAGCCATCGACCCACAACCCCTCTACAGAGACCGATAACTCCTGTACTTCCGGAACCACTGACACCTGCTCTAGCTCCTGTACCACACACAGGCTCAGTATTGCCAGGGCCTTTGCAGACCACCACGCTCCCTGCCTCAGTGTCTTTCCCTGTGCTTGTCACGATGCCTCCTTCACCTGTGACCATGACAGTACCAGTGCCGCCTCCTGCCAAACCACAGACCTCAACTCTAGTGCCTACTTCAAGTCAGAACAACCCAGCTGCTGCTCTGCTGCAGAGTCAGGCCTCTGTTCCTCAAGGTGAGGTTTGGAATTTTGTGAGGAAAGGGTGGGAGGTTGAGCTCTGCTGCTTCTTACCTTCACATTCACTTTTAAAGTTGTTTGCATGAAATGCATCTGCACTTCTTGAGTTTATTTTTAAGTAGAAGTAATAGATTTCTTGTTTGGCTTTTAAACAGCAAGTAGCCCTTTTGGTTGCAAAATTATTTTGGTATTGGGGTCGCTTAAAGTAGTATCTTTATATTTTAAAAGATATTGCGGGTCTCTAACATTGTTCTTTTCCCCCCCACAGTGCTGCCCATGGCAATGACTGCAGCTCAGCTGGTCCAAAATACTCCCCAGCCTCTCCTCTCACTACCACCTGTTTCTCCTACCACAACCACTGCCTCCTCTCTTAAGGCTGCACCAGTCCCAGTCCCAATGGGGCAGCAGCCCCCAGTTAGCAGCTTGAGTGCCACCCCAGTGCGACAGCAACCACCCATTAATACTTTGAGTATCACTTCTGTCCAACAGCAGCCCCCCATCAGCACCCTGGGTATTAGTGCTATGGCTCAGCAACCACCCACCAACACTCAATCCATTAATACACTTAGCATATCCCCCATTAACACTCTGGAGGTGTCCCCTGTAGGGGGGCAGCAGCCTCTGCCAACCAGCACTTTGGGCCCAGGACCTGCAGGCGCTACCACTCAACAATCCACTGGCTCCATTGGGGGCATGGTGAAGCCCATGAACATCCATTCTGCTATACATACCTTGCCTGGATACAACTTTGCAGCAGCCGCCGGAGGTGTGCAGCAACAGCTTTTGCTGTGCCCGGATATGCAGGCACAATTGCCTTGTAAGTATTAAGAAGCCAGCAAAACACAGGCAACCACCATGATGCTTTGAAAATCTAACCCTCCTTCTCCCCCCCCCCCCCAGCAGGTGAAGTAGTCAGCATTGGGCAACTTGCCTCGTTGGCTAATCAGCCTCTCCAAGGTGCCCCAGGCAGTAAACCCCTCACATTCCAGATCCAAGGCAACAAGCTTACCTTGACGGGTACCCAAGTTCGCCAGGTCACAATGCCTCAGCCAGCCCGACAGCTGCCAAGTAGGTAAACCCCAGTCTTTAGCAGCCCCAATGACTCCCTTGTCTTCTGTCTTGAATAAGACAGATTTGGGTAACCTTTGCTTAGGGTAGGGTAGGGTAGGGTAGGGTAGGGTAGAGTAGAGTAGAGTAGGGTGTAGAGTAGAAAAAGTGGAATGGAATAATAGAAGAGTAGGATAGAATAGAATAGGGAATATAGAGAGTATAGTAGAGTAAAACAACAACATAACAGAACAATAATAGGGAATGGGAATAGAATTCTTTATTGGCCAAGTGTGATTGGACACAGAAGGAATTTGTCTCTGGTGCATAAGTTGTTAGTGTACATGGAAGCAACAAGTGATAAATCATGATCATAATCATAAAATACAATCATCATAAATCATAAGATACAACACTCAGTAACAGTCATAGGATACTAAATATGCAATCAACCTAACTCATGGGTTACTGAATAAAAACAACGTAAACCATAAGATATAAACAGCAAAATTATAGTCATAAGAAGTTAGAGAAATAAATAATAGGTAAGATGAGAAGGATAATAGTAATACTATCCTCATCTTATTAAGCTAAACATTAAGACGAGAATGATAGTATTACTACTATCCTTCTCTTTCCAATGTTTTCTTATTAAGCTAAGCGTATTATTTAGCTTAATGTTTTATTAGACTGAGATCCAGCAACCTGAGCCCTAATACAAAATAGTGGCCTGGGAACCAGGTACTTCTGAGCACTGAGTTCAGGGATTTGTTTGTGCTTTAATATATCTGCCATACATATCAGAATAGTAGCTGTGGGGAGGGGGGTTATTTGTTGTCCCTTGAAATCGGAAGGCTTGTTTTGTTCAAAATTAGCAAGAGGATACAATAGAACCTCTGGTCATGAACGCTTCTGACCACGACCAAATTGGTTCCGACCAAAAAATTCATAACGTTTTTTAATCTGGTCATGAACACATACTCAGGTGGCGATCAAACATGATCCCTGACCCAGAAATTCCTGAAGATGAAACTTTAGAAGACAAAGAAATCGCCAAAGTTATGGAATGAATTATGGTTGTGACCAGAGATTCTACTATATCAGGTCATCATGTACTTTCTAGTCATCCTTGGGTTAGGGTCTTTTCAGCATAAGAAACAGTCCTGCATGATGTGTGCCTTATAAATGCCATGAGACAGCATTAAACTTTGCACTTGTCATTTAAAATGAATTGCTGTACACAGGAATACAGGTAGTCCTCGACTTACAACAGTTCGTTTAGTGACTTTGAAGTTACAACGGCACTGAAAATAGTGACTTATGACCGTTTTTCACACTTAAGACCATTGCAACATCCCCATGGTCACATGATTTACACGTGATGATTCGGAAGCTTGACAGCTGCTTCATATTTATGGATGGTTGCAGTGTCCCAGCGTCATATGATCCTTTTGCAACCTTCTGACAAGCAAAGCAAGTGGGGAAGCCAGATTCACTTAACGTGTTACTGATTTAACAACTGGTGGTTCACTTAACAAATGTGGCAAAAAAAAGTTGTAAAATGAGGCAAAACTCACTCAACAAATTTCTCACTTAGCAATATAAATTTTGGGCTCAATTGTGGTCGTAGGTTGAGGGCTACCTGTACTTACTTTCTATTATTTAACACCATTTATGGAAGAGAATTGAATCATCTGAATTAATAGAGCCACAGACAAGATAAAATGCATATAAAATTAAATGCCTCCTGTTAAGGGAAAATAATAGTGGCAGGCTGTTGTGGAGATAATGTTGAAAGGGAAATGAAGGATTAGATAGCTTTTTTTATTGGAGCACTCCCTCTAAGCTCCTGGTGTCTCTTTGTGAGTCATCTGGTGACCGGAGGGATAAAACAAAACGAGCCTTGCTTGACTCAAGAGCACCACTGCTTCTTAGTGGGATCTCTCGAGGAGGGCTTACAGATGTATTTAAAATGTTACTACGCATTG